TGACAAATATCAGACTTCTTCTTCAGAAATAAAATTCATTTTAAATATATTTTACTTAAATGGAAGAGACGTTTCACAATTTTAAGTTGCATTTTTAAATAGCAAAAGGATGGAACTGAATTCACTTACAACTTCAAGAATAAACAGAAAGAAAATATTGACAAAATCAGTCATGGGAACAGGACAAAAATCATTTTACAACAATAAAAATTTTTTACTCATGTCACGAAAAGCACCTGGATTTTCGTGACAGAGGTAGAAATTTTTACTGGTGTAAAATGACTTTTGTTCTGTTCGTATGAATAATTTTGTCAATATTTTTTTCTTTTTATTCTTGAAGCTGTAAGTGAATTCAGTTCCATCCTTTTGCTGTTCGAAGATGCAATTTAATTTATTCTAAAACTATTACTCATAAATCGAAGCAATTATGAATTAAACTACCCTCTCGTCATATTATACGCAGCTCTTCTGTGGCCTGTTAAAGGCATCTATTCCTACCTTCTCAAATATGCATGTTTTTCGATTGCGGTGTTATTGGATTTACAAATACAGTCAAGTGTTCTGTGTAAAATGCCATATTTAAAACAATTTTCATCATTATTTACACCCTGCGAAATTCGGTTTTCGAGACTTCTTTTATAAAAAACAACCTGTCAAAGCTCTATGACGTAATAAATGTTCTAAATAACTATTGTCAGTAGACGTTGAAGTATCTAGGAAAGCAACCAACATCTGCTTACCTCAAACAGAGTGACATGTCTGACGATAAAGTAAGACTATGAAGATACTTTTCTTGTGTCTTTTAGGTTTTTTGGCATCTCATGGAAACATACAGTTCAACTCATGATTTATTCTTGTACCTTGATTCTGATGCTGTTATCAGCAATCATAACTTGTCTATTTACAATTTTCTTTCAAATATTTCCTGGGTACCTACTTCAATTTGTGAAGAATTCACAGTGAATGCATGCCATGCCGCATTGCCATATGATACCTGGTTAAAAAGTGATACTTACGTTCTTCCCAATAGCGGCGTAATATTTTTTCGTCCAACATTAGAATTTCGTCAATTTGTACAACTGTGGTGGCATTTCAATATGCATGAATCGAATATGGCGGGATGGTATGAACAAGACGTTTTATGGAATATACTTCAAGACTTACCAAGTCAGGCAGCGCCAAGGCCAAGTAAAAAACAGGTTAGTTTCTCGCTTTATTAAAATATTAATATACTTAAGAGTCAATGCACGAGAGAAACAATTTACCTCCAAAGAAGAGTGTGCAATCGAAAATCTTCAATTTCTACAAAATGTATTGAATTTTTTTGAGCTTACTCTCTTGTCTATACAAGCAAATTATCAGTTCTCTGTAATGTTTCTTTGAGGAGAATGAGCAATTTTTCCAAAGCAAATTAATACTTAAGCATCTTCTAGTTGTTTGTATATTGAATGATGATCATATTTTATTATTGTACGAGAACAGATGTTCGGAGATGGTCTGAACGACCAGCATCTTCAACATTAAACATTGTTTCGCTATATTTTTCCAAATCTGAATGAAAAAAAGAGAAAAATATGTAGAATGAGGGAGAATTGAAAGCTTTGCCACAACGTACAATGACTTTTGTAAAAATTTCTTTCGATGGTGACTATTATTTTAAAAAGCGTAAATGGTAGCGAGTTTTAGTACTTGTCAATTGAGAGTGTCCACTAGACTCCTATTATGTTCACAAAAGATCGCTGCAAGACAGTGAATATATTGGAGTATATAGCTATTTGTTTTTAAAGAAATGTTTCTACAGTGATCAAAAAATAAAAGAAACTAATTATGATGACAGTAACAAAATCCAGTTCATCGGACCCTAATGATAAGGGTGTCTTTCTTACAGTCGATTTATTTTCTAATGAATAGCTGCAAATGAAAACCTAAATCAACAGGGTGATGGAAAACTTCAATCATTTCGATTACGTAATTATTTTGTTAAAGATACAATTTTATATTAATGACATACTCAAAATACCGTTTGCAACTCAGTCGTTTTCGTAACATGTCTATGGAAACCACGCTGATAATTGATGATAGTGGGTGGATAGAGTAATTTAGTAACTATTGGTCAGTTATGAAGAGGAGTCGAGCAATAAGGTAGTTTTTGTTGACATTTTGGAGTGCTCCTACATGTATTTCATAGAAATTTCTTCCGAAACATCTGATCGAGTTGACAAGTATCAGCGAAAAGAGCAGTTTTTTCTCGAACACTTAGTCCCAATTTTGGTGAGCAAATGCTTATAATTTTCTCTGTTGTAATAAAATATGTACTTTGCCAAATCTTTGTTTGTCTGAGTGATAATCACTTTGAACAACGAGAAGTTCAATGAATAAACAAAGGAGGATCAAATTGAATTCGTTACTAATCCATGAATCATGAATGATTGTTCCCATATTCATCGAAACAAGAGTGCATGAGATGATAGACTGGATATTGAGAATCCAAAAATTTGATTATTTTTGCTAAGATAGAAAGGTATGCTCTTTACGTTGCCATAAGTATTTTACGTGATAATTTTAAAATCAGTAGCCATCTGTTACTCGAATGATTGCATATTATTTAAAAACAAGCAGTGTATTGCTCTTATAATAATCTACCGATCGCTGTGACTAGATTATGCATAGATTGCCACTATTGTCGTTTCTTTAGAAAAGTGTGTCTCAACTGATATCTATTGTGAATATTGACATTTTTATATCTTCATTTGTGTAGCTTGCGGATCGAGAAGCATGGAATACTAAAGTAAAAATAATAATTGAAGATCTCAATCTGGTAACTCGTTTGGGTATTTTTAATCATGCAACCTTTGGATACAAACATCAGTCTCAATTTATTTTACATATGACAAGCAACGTCGGACGAAGTAATCGTGTTCCTCAGCTTACTAAAATATGGCAACGTGAACGAGGAACTCTTAACCGAACTAAGCTTCTGGCAGAGATTAGCAGAAAATACCTTGTTTCGTTTGATACGACACTCGATCGTATCCCATCACGAATTCTTGCATCTAACTTTTCTCTTGCGGTATGACTCACTATTCATGACTATCTACAATATTACATATGCTTCTGTGATGGAAAACCAATTTTTAACATTTAACACATTCGTTGCAATGTGAATATTGTTTTCTCATAACTTCTGAAACATTTCATTTGTTCATTCACGGCAATTGTAATACATGAAAACAGTTTATGTCAACATTTCTCTTAAAAATAGAAGCTATGAATATTTCTTTATCAGCGATAAAAAAATCGTCTTAATCCTCAATCGATATGATAATTTTTATGAAGCCATGAAATACGATCTTTAAGTCTATAATGATTCTTTTCATAATTTTTTACTATTCTGAGATACTGACTTTTTTCTGTAACAAAATTCGTATTGGAACTTTATATACATATAAAGATCTATAGTATTAACAAGAAAAGTTCACTAATGGTCTAATCATTTTTGTACCTACGTAAGATTCAATATGTAGGCCTAAATGAGATATGAACCTCCTGAAAACTGTTTGTACCCTTAACTTGTTGCTGCGGAGAAACTGCATATTTGCGATGTTTTCTCAATAAATGCCGTGATCTTCTCTCAGAATTATCGAACAAGCTCATTTTTTGGAATTTTGACTTGAAACTTTGCATAGAGATAAGCCTTAACGAATATAATTTATTCTAGAAGTTTTAGATCTTTTTATTTGCTGCTATGCTGATATAAGAATATAAAATCTGCTGGTTTCTACGATTGATGCGAGAGACACGCTACTTAGGATCATTCAAAAGTAGTGACGTTTGTAAGATAAAAATCTCAGAAACAAATTAATAAAGTTTTTTTTCATTACATGTTCGAAGTAGTTGCCATAGCTATTAAGACATAATTTCATCCGCTCAATCCGTTTGTCAAGAGCTTTTTTTTCTTATAGTTATCTTGATTGAATGAATTCATGATTTTGGTAATGCCACGGTGCTTCGATTCAAAGCCGCTTGAATCTGTTAGATTTTGTTCGATAAGATTAAATAACCAAAACTAGCAGTGTCAGAGGCTCAGAGAATGCATTTAGTATAGTGTACTGCAACAAAGCAGAGTATCCAGCATCCAGCCAAATTCGACAATATAGGATGTGACTGTAGTGTTGCGATTCTTTATTTTGCATGTGGTTCTAGTGAGCAATATGGCACAACGTTGATATTTTCTTCGAAAGGTGCCTCACTAAATATTCCACTCGAATGACAAGATCCAATCCTTATAGCTATTTCCGAAATTTTAATAGACTGCTGACACTGAACACATGTGCGATCAGAAGCCATACAGCTGTTCATAGAGGCATTTGCTTGCAAGTATGAGATTGAATGTGGATATCTGTGTGGTAATGGACATAAGTCATATCTCCATACCAACTAAGATTCACATCTACACTTACGAGCCACTATCCAACTTCCATGAAAATAAATATAAGTTCATAAATTGATGAGCATATTAAAAATCTTCATTAGCCATGACGCTCACTTCATTCATAGAACGAGTTTGCTGGCCATGACCTGTGAGGGTGTGTGTAAGAGGGAAGAGGTCTAAACTTCTTTTTGCTATATGTTCAAATCAAAATTTTTTGCCTGTTTTTTTTTACATGAGGAGAGCATCATTACAGATGGATCCAAAGTATCGATGCTCGAGTGTATGTTCTTGCTTTTAGCAGTGATAGCTCAGCCCGATTGGCTGACACTTTTCTCTATAATTCATGAGAAGACTGTACATAGTTATGAATTTATAATTAAAAATATCTAAATTAAATAAAAAAAAAAAGGTTTTTATTGGAAAGATGCTTTTTTCATATGATCATAATATCCAACGTTATACATAAAAAAACTACAATAGTTAATTTTCAAGACGGTCTTCTTCTTGTAAGTTCAATATTTAATCCTCCTTCAGGTGCATTAACAACATCAGCAGCTGCATAACAAGCTTATAATGTTAAACATTCATGAGTACCTAAAACAAAATCTAAATTATTATTCATAAAATTAGTCATATCAGCTTGAGCATATCGTCCGAATTCATCAGATTCTTCTCTTATGGTTAATTGTTGTGCTAAATTTGAAAAAGCACATTTTAATGGTGATTATAAATCAAAATGATCAGTTGGATCTGTATTTAAAATACATTTATATACTAATATTGCAACATCATATGCATATAATTCAAGCCATGTTAATGTTTCTTTATTTGTATTTTTTCCATTTTTATTTGGATTAAATCTGCTTGCTAAGGAAATAAATTCAGTTTGATTGGGATGTGTTTCACCAATCATTGTTAACCATGCTATTTCAAAATCAGTCAT